AAATGAGACCTACACCGGTGGATGCGTTTTTGGACGCTGATCTCGAATCTGCTTTCCAAATCTGCCAAACGATTTTCCGAATGGAGTTATGAAGGAAAGTAGTGCAGCGGTAGTAGTCCGGGTTCACGTGCGAGACGTCGTAGGATCGATTCCCTGGCGGGTTCTCTTTTTTGCCTTCGCTGCAAAATGGTTGAAAAAGGCTCCCAACTACCTAACCTCGATCAACGCTTATTACCGCTTATTTATTACCTCAACCAACGTTTCCCTATTGTTACCCGTGTAAAGAGTTCGAGAGGAGTGTCGGCTTCTGGGTCACCCTGTTCTGTTCGTTTAGAGCTACAACATACCAGCTGTTTCTGTCTCTCCTAAAGCAACATATCCAGGAGGTCTTGTCAAAGAAGTTATTCTGTCAGTGGAATAGAGTACATAGCCCACAAGTATCACAGATATTCATTGTCACGTCTCGAAAGTGCGCGGCAATGGCGCTGGAACCTTACAAAGTGATCAGATGGCGACCAATGTGAACTTATGGACGAGATACCTCGTGCACACCCCATGATATGCAGCGCGATTACGGCGTAAAGCTAATTCAAATACTCGTGGGTTGGTGGAGCCGCAAGCAAGCGCCCGAAAACTCGCCCGGCTCCGCCCTTTCCATTTGAGGGGGAATCGTAAATAGCTTCATCGGCGGTTTGCTTTTGTTCTTTTTTAACTTTCAATTCGGCGTTCACAACTTCATTACGACCGCTGTTTCTGCACCATTTCGATCTGGGGTTGCTGCTTTACTGCCAACGCGGAACATTTTTTGCGCAAGGTCAAAAAGCTAATTCCAAGGGATCTCAGGAAAATCCATCGATTTCTACCAATCCACTCAAAACAACTACCCGTGTGCAACCGCAATGTCAGGGAATTCGACGGCAACGTTTCCAGCATTCGACAGCTGTCGATATGCTCACTGAGCTGTGAGATACGGGCACGACACTTACAGTAATCGATCTATCGATCGATCCATGAAAGTAGGGGGAGGGCAATAAGCCAAATGTAGAATTATTCAAGCTGCACAACGCAAACGATTACTGTTTCAACTGTAAAAAATGTTTCGGAGCTCGTCGAAACTCGAAAAAAGTCGAAAAATCAAACTTTCTCCTGTTTTGTTCAGCACTTCATCCACTTGTTTTTGATTGCTTCACATAATGCTGGGTTCTGAACAAAAGCTTTTGCCGCAGGCGGGACTCAACCTGCACCTTTTGCTTCCGGGCAAGTGCGCTACCAGTTACGCTGCGGGCACTTCATTTCACTCCACTCAGCTTTCCATGGAATAAAAAAAGGATAAAGCATTTGCCGTTGATCAATCCCTTTTTGGGATGCGGCACGCATTCTACTTCCATTTGTACATTCGTAGTGGCGTTTGAATGCGATGTGGCCTATACAATGACTTGCGGGGGCCAGCCGATGTACAAGTCAGTGTTTTTATCCTCCCAGACAAGTCTGGTACCAATTAACCGACCCCGGAGGGATGGAAGGCTTGGTTGGCCCGGGCGACTCACGACCCAGGATTTGATCCCGGACCGCTCGCGTGGTAAGCGTGCCACCACTGCACCACTTTTCATGGTATACTTACCATTTCTAGTCAGTTACTGAAGTTTTGTTCACAACTCAGCATTCTTGTAAAACTTCATCCACTGTTTGCTTGTTGGTAGGAATAGTGTCTCTCTGAGTACGGCGCTTCACCACCTACTTGCCGGCTTGCAACAAACTACAAGGGAGTAATAGCTATACTCGGTTACCCGATTAGCCCCAGAAAACTGCGACCTTATTTGAGGATGTATCGAGCCCATACGAGCTCTAATGAGACCATTTTGCATGGCTCCATCGACAAAGATTCAAGAAATGCACGTACCTCTTTCACTTTCCCAGGTTCGTGCGGTGGATACGTTCGAGGCGGTGGAGTGTAGATGGGCAACGGTGCAGGACCGATTCGTTTCGCTTCAAAAATCTTGCTCAAGGTGCCGTTTCGCAATATAACATTTGGGTTGTTCACGTTGACTGGGCCAAATTGTGGAGCCACCTAAAATACGTTTTTGGGATGAATTAGTCGGTTGGAGAAGACGAAAAACAGATAGCGGCCCTACACATCGACAACAACGTGACGCGCATATGCATCGCATTTCACGCTCGGACTCGCTTTGCTATACTTGGCATTGTTGATGTCCCAAAAGTGTTCCATTGATTAACTTCCGCAAGATATAATAATACATCCATTACCAGAAATGGTAGGATCAATGACGGTTTTGAAAAATATCAAAAAAAAAGCGCTGGAATACACGCACAGTACCCCGTCATCAACATTTTGCGTACCGCGTGGTGCGCATGATGCAGCACGCTAATCGGAGTATTTGTGATTGCGTGCGGCACATGTGAACACCGTCTTTCACGAACATGCTTGGAACATTTTATGCTATAATTTTGAAAAGGATCTGGTTTTGAATCCATGTAGTGAACAAAGTACACACGTGGATTGCGCTGAGGAGTTTGAAACACTTCAGTTTCGTACATTGTTTGCCATGTTGCGTCAAAAAAATAAACATCGTCCACGCGATGACTTCGAGCACATAGGAAATAGGAAGTCAGGGCGTTGCGGCCTTGTTGCTGGCCTTCGCGCGCGGCTAGCGTCTGTTTATACTTGACACCGCGCTTCTGATTACCTTACCCCTTTTGCCATGTGATAGTAAGCAATCCCACCAGTCAGTCAATCGCATGTAAATCTTGAAAACACACACAAATTATACACGGACATGTATAATAGATGCGGATGACATAAATCAAATATTTATATTCGCCACGCACAACGCGGTCAAGTATAAACAGGCGCTGGCCGCACGTGCACGTCAGTAAAAAAATGCCACGATGCATTGGGTTAACTAAAAGTGTAAGTAGACAGCAATGAGCAAAACCGATTCTCATGATCATCGCTAGTGGCGCGATCAGTAGTCGGATAGTTAAGCAAATGAAGTTTCTAAAGGTTATCCCTCGACCAGTTTGGTGAAGTATAGCAGAAAATTAGTGTAGGTGCAATATGGATACACCTTGAAGAAAACAGAAAAGGAAGACATTTAAAGAGCCTGAAATTGAGGACCACCTTTTCTGGTTGACGTGTTTGTGAGGCAGACAGGTACTGACATACCCAGACAGTTCTGGAAACGCTTGCGCCAATGCTAGGGAGCAGACCAGTGAAACGAAAGGAGATAGCAGTCGCGCGAGAACGCAACATTCTGCTGCATGAGCCATTTCCTAGCAATAGAAGAAACGGCTACCAGCCAGAAGGGACCACGCCATTGTCACGCGTTTTTGACTTGTGAAGTAACCACCTTCCTCGATCGACATGGCATGATCGACTCGGTCTCACTACAGTGAATGTCGATCATGCCATGACAGTAAGCTCCACAGGAATGGTAAGAATAAGATGACTAGGGAAAATGTAAGCGCAAAGGTTCATCACAGGATTAAACTGGCATGGTTCGTGCACACGAAAACGAAAGCGGTGGTGCGAATTGGGTCGGCACGAGTCAGGCCTAGTGGACCAAACCAATCCCTTTTGTCGTCTTTGTGCATGGCTACGCACCCACAGAGACGTTACCATGCTCAGAATCCCCGCCTGGCCGGCGCTAGGACCGCCCACCTCCGGAAGTGGTGCGTGGCTGGCATAACGTGTGAAATCAGCTAGGTTGATTGCCGTATCAACCGATAGAACGACTGACATCTCCAGAAAACTTGTTTGTACGTGCCTCTTTCCCAAGCCAGCCTCCTTCACTGCTAGTGGGAAAGAGGGTTTTGTTAACGGCCTTGTCGACGGTTTTTCTCCACTGTCGTTCCACTTCGCATCTCTATACTCAGTTTCAATCGCCATAATAGAGCCCGACTTTTGCCTTTAAGCTTGCTCACTTTGTGCTAAGGTACCGAGAGACTAAGCGTGGAAGAGAGATGGTAGACGAAAGAGCCCAGCGGATGGAAGAGCACAGACATTGGCGTGCTGGGTACGAGAAAAAAAAACAGAAGCGGCCTTACTATGCAGTTTAGAACCAACAGAATGGAACACTTGCTACTTTTGTGGGCAGCTCTACTTAACCCACCAGAAGGATTCATGTACTGCCACTCATTTTGGCTTGTACTCACAAGTAAGCCCCAAATATCTATAAGCGGAAATTTTTGTATTCGGCTAGAAAGTCGGAAGGCAGCACTTCCTAGCTGGGAGCTGAGCCGCATGAGTCCGACTTCGAAGAGTCATGAGACGCGTGCTGCTTAGGCTTTTGAAAGAGAACGGAGCCACAGTAGGAGGAGACAGCGCTAGTTGCGAAAGCTTAGTGACGTTACCAATTCGGATACACAGGGACTCGTATCGTGCATGAAGCGAGACAAAGAACGCAAAAAGAATTAAAGCGTGCACAGGTAACGAATCAATTGTGCATAGAACGTACCGTGAACGGTGTCGTTGGTGCGGAGCGTGTCGTACGATTCTGATCAAAACGTCGTGTACTCCTTTCAATGAAACGTAGTAGATCTGTACGGTTCTCGAACGTACGACTAGCATACGGTGGAGGTCGAGGAATGTTCTGGAAATACTAGCTAGCATGAAGCACCGTGGAATCAGATGAGCATTCAAAATTGGCTAGAACTAACCGGATTTCGTCCTCCCAGTTGACGCTTTTCACGCGCCACGCTAAAATCTAATGACGGATCTTTTTTCCGTATAGCGTCCATTTTGTCGAATAACGCCACTATCAAAGTAAGATAATTCAGGACGTATAGGACAAGAACCCTGAAAGGAATTACAACATTTTTCTATTTATTTTGAGTAAAAGCTACGTGAATCATAAATAGGACAAAATTTAACAAACGCCGGGTCATTAGAGGCAGATCCTGCGATTGAGTGAGGTGCATCAATTTAATTGACAATCTTGCGTAAGCATATGTGGGAGGATGTATTTTTATCGAGGCTTGGAAATGCGCGACAGGGATACCATGGCTCTATAATTTGTAAATGAAGCAACAACCCCAGATCAAATTGGCGGGGTAAAATCGGTCAATAAAAAATTCTTGATGCCGAATTGACTAGAATGAAAAAAAAGAATTGAAGAAAACCGTCGATAAAACTCTTAAACGAGGACTCCCCTCTTCGCTTCAAGTAAGGAGGTGTGGCCGGACGAGCTGTCCGAACTAACTTGCTCCGCCGGCATTTATTGCTGGCTGCATGCCGGCAAAATGCGGCTACAGTCGCATATGCAGCAAAACAAACAAACGCACATGCTTACAAAGAAACTACGACAATGAATTAAAACTAATCAAATCAGGCAGCGTTCCTTTGAATGCGACCGCCGTTTACATGCAATCGCGCAAGGACCACGCAGCCAATCACGCGATATTTACGCATAGCAGGTGGGCATGTCGAAAAAAAAAGGCGGACGGAACAAAATCGGAACTCCTAGTGGTTTTTTGAGGTTTCAGCTACACTTCATATGTTCGACTCGCTCACGCATTTTCACTCCATCACTAGCAAAATCCATCTGAGGTTGTTGCCTCATATAATAGCAAAAGGAAAGGTTCTGTTTAGGCAAAGTATTTAAGAGAGGATGAACGAGAATGTGAGTTTGTGAAATGGAATTCTTTAAATCATGATGGCTGAGTGGCAGCGATTTCCTACTCTTTTCCGACCCAGTGCTGTTAGGAAAGATTAGCACTGTTTCTGTTTTTCATGCAAAGAATGGAAACCAAAAAAACGCAGCAAAAATGGTTTGCCAACGCTTCCTATTTGGTTTTTCATTAATATTTATGAAACGACCATAAATGTATCTCAATATAAATATGGCCAATAATCGATGTCAATCGATAAACGGTGTTAGAGTGATGAGGCATAGTGTAAACAAAGGGCGTAATAAAAATGAATTTTTAACCGGGAAGGTGCGCAGCTGTCACGGACGAACGGGAAATTGCCGAGGGTCAAGTTCAGTGGTCTAGAAATATATATGCAAATAATCAAAAAAATCTGTGTTTTTTTTTATTATCTGCATGTAGAAAATTATAAATCGATCGAGTTTGACTCAAAATTCGACTTTCAAATGAAGTGATGTGCAATATTACAACTCTACTCGGAAATTTGCACTATTCTGGTTAATGGTGTGAAGAGCATTTCAATGACGGTGCTTCACATAACGCTGGAATCATTACTGGTATAATTTACTACACTGACCATCAATGCGTCGCTTTAACTCGTTTGTGGTCTGGCTAGAATTGCTTGAGGCCAGAATTGCTTTAAGTCTTCTATACACTTGAACTTACGAATTCATCGCTACCGTAGAAGAAAAGGGGAAGGCAATTCAAATATGGAAAAGTTTGCACTAATCTCATCAGAAATGAAAACGAGCACAAGCCACTGATTGAGCTCAGATGAGGTCTTCACTGTTCTGAGCGGAGAGAGAGTTCGAGAGACAAACAGTCAAATAACAGTATGCGCTGAGGTCAGAAAACGACAGATAGATACAAGGGAGCATAGAGGGCAACGAGGTACAGATATCTCAACTGCGCGGAGTACAAACTCTCGAGAGGGTGCGCTGATACAATTTTGAGCTCTCACCGTATCAGCGTATTCTAAGTCGCAAAAGTGGCATTGTCTTAGCAGTCACGGACCAGCAAATCTATTCGCTAGAGGGAATGATTTGATGACCCAATTGCGGAGTGTGCCTTTAGGTTCGATTAACAAACCTGGTTAGATGTGCTCTAAGTGCTGTTCTTGGATGGTAGTTCTCGAGACGTCCGATAAGATCAAAAATCATTGGAAAGACGTGAGTGATTGTCGCTACCACAGAAGGTACCTAGATAGACAAGTTCGGGGCGACAATGGGATAAGTTCCAGTTTTGTCCTACAATGTTCGATGGAGCTGAAGACGTACCTGATTTTTTGTGAAGAGATTGCCTTCCTGTTCAACGGCTGTTTGAGATTTTTGCACAGCAAATGAAATACAGTAAATGGAAAAGGCGAGCATCCCACAAATGACGATATTCGCTATTACTCGTAATGTAAACTGTAGGCACCGAAATTTTGACCCGAGCGATACACGACAGTCAGCGATTGACTCCTCAAAATAGTAGAGTGGTTTTTTGAATGAGATTTCTGCATGGAACGATTTGACCTTTATTTATTTATCAATTTACTTATTTTCTATCGCTGAATTCAAGGCTTGTCAGTACTGAAAAACGAAGAACTGTCTCAGAACAACCTAACCGTAAGGGATACAAAAAATTAAACAATGGTGAGTGCTACTGGCGGGGAAGGAATTTGGTGCAATAGCTCGCGTGTATTACGAGAGACTTATTTCGGAAGGAGAAAGAGTCCTAAAATGGGTGAATCAGTTTCTTACGGGTAAAAGAAAATTGTGAGTATCAGTTCTCCTGAAGTTAATAATGCAAAAACAGGCGCTATCGCAATATAGAGTGGCACTGTGATGGCAATGCATTAAAATCGCTTGAATCATGCCTTTTTTCTTAATCCATTCGCGATCGCGCGGGATTGCGCAATAGCAGTACAGTCAGGGGATTTTTGTTCAATAAAATTTAACATGGAGATTTCCTCTGTCCAGGGCTAGATGAATGAGGGTATGAAAGTTCTTTCCATGGAAGTGCCATCGTAATGAATAGGTTGAAAGCGGGACTAAGCCTTAGACAAGGGAGGTGAGACTTCGAGGCGCGTGAGCCATTTGCATTTTCCCCGGAACTCCTGCCTTCTCCTAGGTCCAGTTCTAGGATGCCCATGTACGTTAGGATAGCGCCCAAAAATAGTTGTCACAACTTCAGTTGCGTTTGATGACTTGAAACAAGATGCCTTACCCCATACAACCTCACCCCTCACTAATATGAGGCCTAAAATATAACTGGGACTATCATCAATACTCACCCTCAACTTGATCACAATCGCCATTACAGTATTACTGGCCGTTTCTTGGTTGCCAATTGTGTAGTCCCATCCGGTGAACACACGCCAATTGAAAATGTATTGCTCGGCTTTACTGCCGGATAGCTTTGACATGCGAGCGTTGGCGGCCATTCTGAAAAGTGATTATTAAGTCAACACCTAATTCTACGAATTCCGAGAATTCCCAGGGAAATCATATTTGCTCTAAATCGCAGCAAGCTCTGACGCTGCTAAAGGAGTTGGGGGAGGACCACGCGACGGCGCGGCTCCTCTAAAGCGCGATGGCACTTAGCCTTAGCCTAGGAAGGAGTGCGCAGGATGTAACCAGAACGATTTACAATTTCGCTTGATTTCATAATCACCTTTCGACACTTTTGAGCGTCCTTCTTGAGCTCAGCCTCGTGCCATCGTGCTTAAGATGCCGCACCGCTGTGTGATCCTCCTACCCCGCCCCCAACCCAATTAGCACCTCAGCACCGCTTCAACAATTACTTCCGTTGTTATTTTAATGTGAAAAGAATCCCATTCGAATTAATATGAAGAAAGTGTGGGCCATATGTGCCATGGCGACTGTGGCAAGAAGTATGCCAAGCAGGGTCGGTCCTATCGTTGGGACCTTTTGCAAAATTTTTACGACCCCCCTCCTTCACGACAGATTTCATACGACCCCTCTTCACAACTTCTTTTTCCCTCGAAAAACACCGTCGAGCGGGGGAGGGGGGGGGCACCTCATTACATGTAATTTCGTGCTACCGAAACAAGTACGACCCCCCCACCACAAACTTCAACAAACTACGACCCTCCCCCCGTTGGTACTAGTCCCAACGTAGGGTTTACCCTTATGCCAAGCGCCGTGTGATGCAAATGTCGATCGATTATCGATTGTCCGCATAGACGCGAAGACGTTTATTGCCCTGGCTTATCTCCCGAATAAAGTGACTTTTTTCACAATGTTCGATGCATAAAGAAATTGCTTCACCTTTTAATTTATTTATGAACTCGAGAGTTGATTCTTAGTATGAATCTTTATGAGTTCAGAGTTCCAAGGAAGTCTCCTTTGACTTCGGAGTGTTGTCCAATGATATCATCAAAGGCAAGATTCGGGATAAAATAGGTGTGGAAAAGCGTTCAGTTATGAAGCTAGAGGTGGGAGGTGGTCTGTAAAAGAGAAGGAAAGCAAACGAAACCACCGATTACGCCCCGCACAGAGACCTCCCCTATTTCAGCCGCATTCCACCTTGGGATAGAGAAGGGGCGCGTTGGACGAGTTTCACGAACCTAACTCTGTTACAAGATTATAAGTTAAGGAACATAGGATGTATACCGTAACCCACGTTTGCGTCAGAGCGCGGTTGCAGGCTTTCCAGTGCACAATGCCAGCACTAGTGTGAGAGCGGTCAACGACGCCGCCCCTGTTCGGGGCAGCGAACCCAAAAATGGAGCGACGTCGCAGCGTTCGCCTCGCCGCTTGCGCGACGAAGCCGAACACCGTCGCAGCGTTCCGGCCTCGCCGCTTGCGCGACGAAGCCGAACACCGTCGCAGCGTTCGCCTCGCCGCTTGCGCAGCGTTCGCCTCGCCGCTTGCGCGGCGAGGCTGAACGCTGCGCGCGCTCCGCGCGCGAGCACAGGGAGGTGATCCCCGGGGTGCCGCCTCATCCGACGTGTGGCGACAGCCGCTTGCGTTGTGTCCTCCACCTTCTACATAAACGGCGCTTAGTACTCTGCGCGGGCCTGCTCGACGCATTCTCTCTTCGTTGAGAGGGTGCAGAGAAGACGAGAAAATCGATGACACGTGAGAATTGCGCGCCCCAGTGCAACGTCGAGAAGGTTTACG